ACGAACGAACGACGACTTTATACGTATAGGTCGTCGGTAGGTTTGTCGTCGTCAACTTTAAGGTTAGTTACCTTACTTTCTTTCCTTCTCTCTTTTGTTTGTAGAATAGCAGGTACGTCTCTCTCTCTCTCTCTCTCTCTCTCTCTCAGCCGAGTCTAAAGAAGTATTGGCAATCCTGTTGTGAAAATGCATCAGAATAGCCAAAAACGCAGATTCTGGCAAGCCCTGTGGTATTCACATGGGATTTGCCAGAGTCCTGCGGTTGACTTACGGCAAGTTCCTAGTCAATTCACTGGTATTAGTTTATGAAAGGAATCTTTGAGTAGATTGGGATGACTTGGATTTATATAGTACCTTAAATTGTTGCAAAGTCTTATTTGTGCGTTTTTTCAGGACGTTCTAAAAGCATCTGGAAAATAGAGGAGCTGAGGTCAAAATCTGGGAAGCCTCATACTCCTTCAAGTGCATTTTCATGCGCCAAGGTAAATAATGGCATCCATCCACCCGCAAATAATTAAGGGTTCCTACAATTTGCGAACATGACCCCAACCATTCAATGTCAACAGCAACGTGGACTCTGAGAAATACATCCTAGCCATACCTTGTTGATATCTGATGGCTGGAATGATTATGTGATCTGCAGGAAACTCAAGTACTCGCATGCTTTGCTTTCCCATAACAAATGTATGAAATTCTACAGTTTACGTATACAAGTAATTGAATCTATTTGTAATCATAATAACAAGGGTTTCGTTAGTTTGTCATTGCACATTTGGGCTATAATCATGATGATGATATAAATGAAGAAAAAGATGTGTAGTGGGCTATTGGCTGTGCTGCAGCCACACTGCCCACTAGTTTTACATAGACACTTGATATTGTCTTCTGTGTCGCATGTCGACACATACATAAACACTTGATATTCCCTTCTGTGTAGTGTGTCGACACATGTCGACATGTAGACATGTTGACACAGCCAGACACTTGTTCGATACGTTAACCATACATATCTATAATTTTTCTTACACTGACACAGCGTATCGACACTCATTAGGACGTGTCTAATGTTAAGACACAGTATCATAATTTGGTGATGTATAAAAATGTGTTTTTGGTCGTGTGACTTGAACTCACGACCACTCAAGCCAATGTAAAAAGGAGTGCCACCTGGACGCCACTTTGACATCTGTTCGGATTGAAATATCTAATACAAAGATAGTAAAGGTTTGTGGTACATTTATTGGTGCATTGTGGTACATTCTGTTGCACTTATTTTGGGTACAATATTAAATTGAATAGCGATGCTCAAGAGATAACTGCTGTTAATGC